TCTTAGATTCGTCCTTTTGGTTGATAAAATGCTGCAGAAGTCAAGGTATTCTATTCAAATTAAAATCTGAAATTTGTGCACCAAAAAAGTTTTGTATGTAAATTGTAGTCTTCATAATGTATATTATTTCAAAATGCAAACACGCAAATCCTCAATTCTTATGGGTTATAAAATTATTTCAGTGATAACATTTTCATAGAAAAAGCTTTTACCTCATGTTAAGCTAGCAAGTTTTAACTGTTTCTGTGATTAGTATCTATCCCATATTAGTTTCTCTTTAATTGTACCACATGTAAAATGTGTCTCATTTTTCCAAATACCCACAAATGGGAATCTCATTTTTCTAAATACCCAAAATTTCCAAATACCCACAAATGGGAATTTCCTTGAAGATGCCATGTGAATATAAAACAAAATATGAGTGTCATAGCAGAAACTTGATATTTTCTACCAAGTAAATTTTTTACTAACCAATAATCTACTACTGAATTTGAGCAGCTCATCTTTTACTGCTGACTTACTATAAAAGTAAGTTTATAGCACTTTTAAACTTACTGTGGTCATCCGAACGCACAAAGGCTTAGGTCCATAGGGACAAGTATTAACTGTATTTACATATAAAGAAAATAATTCAATACCTAATCAACACTAATACCTAACTTACCCAGATCTTCAGAATAAACTGCCCTGCTTCACATATAACAACAATTAATCCACATTTTTTTTCTCAAATCCTGGAGAAAGGATTGAACCAGGAGAAAGCAAATAAAATTCAATACTTATTTATTTATTTATTTATTTATTTGCATGCTCCTCGACTTATGATGGAGTCACATAAGTTCAAAATTTCACGTGGTCCCCGTCTTACAATGGTGCACGATTTTTCAACTTTACAGTCCTGCAAAAGCAACAAACATTCAGTAAAAACTGTACCTTGAATTCTGAATTTTGATCTTTTCCCAACTAGTAATACGTGGTATGCTATTTTCTCGTTATGCTGGCAACAGAAGGGACCTCCTGTTCCCAGTCAGCCACACGGAATTGAGAGTAAACAACCAATACTTACATGCACATGTTGCCAGATGGTTTTGCCCAACTATAGGATAATGTAAGTGTTCTGAGCACATTTAAGATAGGGTAGACTTCCCAGCACTTTGTGAGGCCGAGGCGGGTGGATCACGAGGTCAAGAGATCGAGACCATCCTGGTCAACATGGTGAAACCC